TTCCCCCTCGCTCCCGCCGATTCCTTCTGCTAGAAATTAAGATATCATCGGCTTATTGTACTTTATAAGTGTGTTTGCTGCTACACATACGCAAGCGTAAATGTGTGTGGAAAGATACCCTGTGTATGCTTATGCATCTGTCTTTGTCAACCGTTTTCGACCTCACTGCTTAACAAACTGGTATGTGAAATTTTGGGCATTTGGCTTTTGGCTTTTTAGAGACTCAGAATCCATGTATTATCCCTTACTTCACTGGATTTAGCCTGAGAATCCATGTATTATCCCTTACTTCACTGGATTTAGTCCATTTTTATATTTTATACCTCGAACATCTTTTCATTTTTATGGCTAAATACTGCTGTTTGATGAAACAGTTGGGTTAGTGAACACGCTGAACAATCCATGGGGTTAGCTGCAAAGAAAAGGGGTTAATGAGATGCTTTATAACTGCTAAGTTGGTATGACTTGAAAATAAGGGTCCCCAGCTTCCTTTCGGAACTTCCAAAGTGCAGAAAAGGAGTTCAGTGAATACAACCTTAAATATAATTAGAACGATTCTGGGTTGAATATGCCTTTGCACTGATTTGGCAACAAATATCTTCGGCCAAAAATTTTTTGTGTAAAATGTAGATGTTTATACCATGGGCGCACCGTTTTTCATTTGGCGTGGCACTTTTTGCAAGTGACTAATCTTCTAACCTCCTCCACCTGTTATGCTTACGTTTTTGATTATTTGCGCGTAAATGAGGAGCTCTCCAGTTTTGTTTTTCCATCTGTAAATATACCCGCTGCTCGCTCCATTAAAATCTAGTAGGCGCTCGGACTGAAGAAGCTGCTAGTCGGTCGAATTCAAAAGAACTGATGCGCCTACATGATGTAAGCGTCAAATACCAACTGAGCCATTCAACTCAGGCAGGGAGCTCATCAAAATCTATACGCGGCGTATGGGCCATAGTGACAGCGTTGGAACTCCACACAGATTGTTCGGGCTATGTTCGCAGTAAAGTATTATTAAAATCACATCTCTGTGTGTTCGTTGTGTCTACTCTGGTTATACGTTTTAGACACGCTCTCCTTGAGTGTAGGCACTTCAGGGCAGCAAAGGTTAGGTAGCTAAATTCTGTAATTTCATTCTGCCGCCGTGCATGAAGCTAAAATATGGCAGCTCGCATCAGGAGCTAAGACTGACATACGTTTTTCTGCGCAGTTTTATTCAGTAAATATGAGTTTTCAAAGTGAAGAGTAGCAAACTTCAACCGACAGCCATGCAAAGGTCAGTAAGTAATACACAGGAGGATTTTAAAGTTACTCTTAATCTCGCACTCCCAGAGCCATTCACGGACGGGGTATGAACTCTCAAAGTTTTAGTTGCCAAGTTTGCTGGTCTTCAATTTCGAAAACTGCGATAAATATGTTGTTCGTCAGCACGCGTTGTAGCATTTTCACAAACGCAAAAGGCGCAAGAGAGCGTAAGGCTTTGATTTTTTTGCGCTTTGCCCATCAGGTTCAGGCCCTTACCGAGGCTAAAATTTCACAATAAAGCAAGTCACAAACCCAGTATTTTGATAACTTTGGTGTAGAACCTGCAGGAAATAATTAAAATCAATTTCCCACCCTGCTTGGGCGGACTGTTATGTTAAGCCTAAATTCAGTTCTATTACAAGGTAATTTTGCTAAAGTATTTTTATGAGATAAAACTCTTTTATGTGCAAATCTTCGGTTTTTTTCAACGTTACATGCAAATAAGGTGTGATTTTCTAAGCCAGCCAATTTGCGCCTTTTTTGCAAGCTGAGACTAATTTTGGCATTTCAACTTCAGTCGGAATAACTGTAGCAGAAAAAATCATTGGCGATGCGCGCCAGGCGGACTTGTGCGATCATGCGTTTTTGCAGTGTTTTGTGTTGTAATGAGATCGCTCGAAGACCCAGGAGCTAGAAATGTGTGACCTAGTGGCCCTCGAATTTCGGGAAGTTAATTATCTGTGCTGTACTTGGACAGGGAACATTACATAAAAATTTCAGCCCCTCAGCTTTTCTAGTTCTGGAGTTAATTATTTTCCCAACAAAAATTTTCATGGGGCCGTACATGAGAACCACGCACAACGAAGGGATGAATTTAAGTTGTAACTTTAAGTTGTACATGAGCCGAGAACATCCGCCCAGCTGCCCTGGATCCCAAGTTGGCGATTTTCCCGGCAATAGCTCTCACGGAGCCGCACGCGGGGGCCAAGCACACCTTGGGACTGAATTTGAAATCTTTGAGTTTTATGTGGGCGGGGAACACAGCCTCAAAATGTCAGCTTTCTAGCTTTTCTGGTTTCTGAGTTAGCGATTTTCCCGCTAAAACTTTCATCCCCTCGTACGCGGGCCCAGACTTGCGTGAGGGTTGGTACCGCTGATCTGAGGTGGCACATGGCCGGGGAACCCACTCGCAAAATTTGGGTACTGAGCTGAAATAGCCGGACACAGCTTGCTTGGGTGCTGAGCTGAAATAACCGGACACACACATACACATACACACACACATACCGGAGTCGTCACAGTATGCGTTTTCGCATTTGCATGTATGCATAAACGCATAAAAATGAAATTATTCAAAGAAACAATTTTAAAAATTCACTTCCGGATTCTTTGCCGTCTTGTTTTTTGTTAATTTTGCTGTGATGCGTCTTGCTGGAGTATTCGAAATGTGGATGGCAATGACAGTGAAATTTGTGATCGTGTTCATGGCTTCCTTTGCTTTGATGTTCCTTGCTGTGCTCTTTTTCATGACTGCTTTCCTTGTGATCGCCATTGCAGTGGCAATGGCAGTGACATCCTTGCTGAGGGCTGTCATGTTCATGGCTGCCTGAATGATCGCCGTGATGGTGATGGTGATGATGATGGTGATGGTGGTGATCATGATTGCCGTGATGGTGATGATGGTGATGGTGATCATCATCATGGTGATGATCATCATGGTGATGATGATGATGATGGCGATGATGATGATGATGACGGTGCTCCGTATGGCTCTCATTAGTATGGGCATGGTCGTGCTCATCGCTGTCTGTATAGTTATCATG